TTCCAGCTGCTTTAAAAACCCCCTTCTTTTTAAACGTAATCCCTCACTCCCTTTCCCCCACACTTACATTCTGCTCTTCTTCACTCCAAAAAATTGGAAATACCTCCCTGACCAGTGCATGAAAATTTCTGCCTCTGTTTCTTTCCTTTAAATTTTTTTAAAATTCCTCAAAATATTCCGCCATCTACCCAATACCTCCTCTCCCCCTCTACTAACCCCCTACCGTTTTTAAAATGACAAAACCATATTTTCCCTAGGGTTTCTTAAAATTGTTTAAATCGCTCCAAAATTTTTTCTTATTTTCATTAAAATTTCTTGACAGTGCCCCTTTTCCCCCCCCATCTCGCTCTCCTTTTGCACTCTCTCACCATCTCTTTACCTTTTTACTCTCCCTATAAATCTGCTCTTTTTAAACACTTCTGCTTTAAAAACCCTCATAACCACCTTTTCCCCTTTAAAAACACACCCTTTTTACTTCATCATTCCACCCAAAACACTCCCTTTCCTTTCCCGGGCCCCCCCCCTCCTATAACCACAAACTTCTGCCCCCATTCAAAAAATGGGATTTTTAAAACTATTCCCCAACCCCCTTCAAACCCCCCCCCCCTACTTCTTTTTCACTAGCCCCCCTTTCTGCCAAAAGTCGTTTTAAACTCACCCAACTTTCCCCCCTTCCCCTTTGTTTTTACCCTTTTTACCTCCCTCTTACTTTTGTTGCCACCTTTCCCTTTTCCCCATCACCTCTTACTCTAACTGTAGCTACAAAAAATAAAGTCCGATTTTATCAGTTGCCCCCCTATAAACCTGAAAAATCCTGGAGCCTCCCATCAACCTTTTTTCCACCAATACAAAAATCTAATAAATACTTTTTATTACTGCTACATCATTTCCTTGTATATTTATTTATCCCCCCTTTTTTTTAAAAAAATGTATTTTCTTAAATTTCCAAAATTTTTTTTCTACCCATACCATTAAAAGGGTCCCCAATTTTCATTTTCCCCGGCACCCCAAATTTAACCCACTACCCCTCCATAACATTTTTTTCCCACTTTTTAAGGGATTTTAAAAACCCCAAACCCCCATTACTCTCACAAATTGATTCCAAAAAATCCCCAAAGCAATTTACTTTAACATTTTTCCCCAAAAACTCTCTCTTCTCCTCTACCCCTTCTCTCTTTTCCCCGGTGCATACACCTTATTATAACCCACTTTTTAAAAATCCAAAAACTTTATTTTGGGCCCCCCAATCCTTAATTAATACTTTATAGTCCCTTTTTCCGCCCCTAGCTTATCCTTCAAAATTATTGCTAACCCTTCTTTAGCCTAACTCTATTTGAAAAACCCCCACCAAAACCCAAATTTTTTCCTCTCCACTGAAAACTCTCCCACCCCCTTCAGCTTTGTTTTTACTTAAAAAAACCCCGACATCCAGCCCTTTTTTCCCTTCATAACATCCACAATCATCTCTTTCTTATCACTGCACAACATCCACGCAAATTCAACTTCCCACTTTTTAAAAATTTTCTTCTTCTTTTTCCTTTTTTGAATCTTTACAGGAAAAGGGGTTTTCTAAACCCCTGTTCCCGGCATTTTTTTTTTACTTTTACAAAACCATGGCTTTCGGAAAGGAAAAATTTTTTATTCCCTTTTCCCCTGGATAAAAAAAGGAAAATTTAAAAAGACCAAGAACCATTTAAAATAAAATCAAAGAAAAAACTCGAAATTAGTGTGTATAAAAAAAATTTTGTACATTATGTGTAGGTGCCCCAAGTTTAAGTAGAAGTAGCAAAAACAAACCTGAAAACTTCATATTTATGGACCCGACAAAAGACATCAGCAAAACCTACCATCATGTAAAAAAATCACAGGGTTTGTTTTTCACTCACTTGGGAGGACGTAAACCCTCCCTGGGGGTTCCCGTCTACCAAACCCACTACTTATTATATTTTATATAAAATATGTATATATAATGTATATATATAAGGGTTTTTAAATATATATGTATAAATAATATTAAAAATAAAAATTAAAATTAAAAAAATTAAAAATAAACCAAAAAAAAAATTTACCAAAGCCCCCCCCTTCCGGGGAAAAAAAGTGAAACAACCCCGGAAACAATAAAGGGGTCCCGGCCGCCCTCCCCCACCGTCCCACCCCCCGGTTTAACCCCCCGTCCCGCGGCGAGCCAACTTGGGGCCGGCCTTTGGCCCAAAAAATCCCCCCCAAAGCTAAAATTTTCCATGAATTTTAATATAAAAATAAAAATTAAATAAAAAAATAATAAATTTATATATAAAAAAAAAAAAAAAATTTTATATATATTAAATACATCAAAAACTGCCCGCCACAAAAAAGCACTGTTAAAAAACCACCTTTAACCCCAATCTGATCATTCAAAAAACAATTAAAACTGGTTAATTCTTTTACCCAATATTGTCTCTGTCTTTTTCTATCAATCCCCATCTCATGAAAACCACTTCATCCTAAAACCCCCTTTACTGTCGCAACCCCACATCCTGAGGAAATCTCCTGGTTCCCCCAAAATTTCCAAAAAAAAAAAATTATTTTTTTCTTATGAAATGATAGAGAATCTTTTCCTGATTGTAATGACACCAAACGAACAAAATTTGATGGAAAACTGACGGAATTACGCTCTTGCAAAGTTAGCGACCTTGGAGATATTTATGAATCGGCGATTTCGCCCAATTTGAGCCCTATTTTCAGCTAATTCCATTGTTCCAGTCAACCAAACTCATAGCTATTTCTTTAGAACTCCATTTTTTCTATCGATTGAATACAAGAAACTGCCCATTTACTGATTTCAACTACCCAATAATGTGGTCAGAAATTTGCAATTTGGCCAATTTCACAAAAATTAAAAAATATGACAATTTCAAAATAGGGTCCAGAAAGAACAATGCAGACATTCCTGGCTCTAAAATAACATTTTATTTCTTCATCAGTCATGTCTCCAGGCCCCTCTGATATTACTCTTCCTTTCTATTTTGAATTTTTATTCACACAAAAAATAGAAGATTTACTGTTATGCAGACTACTGCATTAGCGTAAAATATTGGCGCACTTGTGAAAGAATATTAGACTCACCAGTTGACATGTATTGGACGCTTAGCATGATTTGTTTACTTTTGAACTTTGGTAAAAATAAAAAATTTCTGCTACTTTCAGCTCAATTTCAAGGTACTTTTCATTGTAAAATCAGTCAAAATCATCTCAATTTCTGTAATATGTCTTCCATTCTATAGAATGAGACCAGGAAAACTAGAATGCAGCAATAAATACCATACGAAAATACAGTGCAAAGTCGGTTTTAATCCAAAAACACGGTCAAATTTTTTTTTTTCTCATTACGCACTGTGTGCTGCAGGATTTTTTTTATACTGCGCACACTGACCACATAGATGCATTCTTTCATATGTAGGCCTACCAGCTTTCTCTCACTAGATTTGAGGGCGCTAGAATTTAGGCATACTAGTACATCAAAAACCCTGGTGCGTAAGCCGTACTAGTACGGCCGAAACCCTGAAAGGGTTAAAAGGCAATCCAAGTGTAGAGGAGAAAGACCAGGGACCTAGCACCTTGAGTAGCTTCCCAAAATAGATTGTAAAAATATGAGTAAGATGAGCTGAATTTGAGGACTTGGCTAGTTTAGGACAATAAGTCTACTGCAATATTCCTCTAATCTCATGTTCTTGTTCTTATGAATGGTAATGGTTAGATGAGAGAAGGCACTAACTAGTCTGGGCCAAATCTACTGTAGTATTCCTCTCTTCTTAGAGTGGGAATGATTAGATGAAAGTAAGACTTACCTAGCATGGGCCAGCAAATCTACTGTAGAGTTCCTCTGTTCTTATGTAAGAAAACATTAATTTCAGTTTAACTGGATATGAGCAGGAATGATCAGAAAGAGTAGGGCCCATCTAGCAAATTATGATAAACAAGGAAACCAATAGACTGCTTGAATGCATTAATGAGCATCTTAAAATAATGAAAATGACCATTTTTCTGTCAAAATAGCATTTTGTATCAAAATGTTGGCACTAAAAATCCAATGTGGTGCATTATAGAAAATCTAGCACTGCCCCCCCCCCCCCACCCCTCCCATCAGTGCAAGATATTGGATGATTCACTTACTGAGTCTTACTCCTTATACAGATCAGGATATTCTTTTCTGCTCCAACACCACTGACCAAACAGCATCAACCTGACAACCCAGAGCAGGAAACCCTAAGTACTCACATCAGTGATAGCAGACACCTGATCTTCAAAGACAGACCCCAGAGCCACAGTTGAGCATGGACGGAGAGCAATAAGTGTTCTTCCTGAGTATCATCCCTAATGTGATGTAAATGGTTTAGAAAACTGACAAGTTGAAGAATGAGACACTTGTACAACATTTGGGAATCTTTACTGAGGAAGATTCCCAAATGTTGTACCATCTCTAAAACAAAAATTTGAAACCGGTGAGAGCACCAAAGCCTTGCAGACTGAGTGAACACAGTAAGGGCAAATCCTCAAATGGACGTGAATGTGGCAGTCAGCAGGAATGTAAGGGAAGTAAAAGATCATGGGCACTGACCCTGAAGGCTGGCTAGCAGTCAGAAGGAATGCATGGGAAGGAAAAAATCATAGGCACTGGCCCTGAAGGCTGGCTAGGTTCAAATTCCATGAGAGCCTTTTGAAGCATTAGAGGAAAGGAAGAAGGTGCTTCTCTGTGAAGAGCAGAGGAAGACTAATATATCACCTGCACATATTGAGAAAGGTGTAGTTCTAGAGGAGTTATGTTCCCATAAGAAGAGAGAAGTGAAGATTAGCAAAATTGAACTGCACACCTACCCAAGGCAAGGGGTGCAGGAAACTGACCTGTTGTAGATAACATATTAATCAATTACAATATATCAATTATCAATATTCATTGTAACATCAAGCAAAAACTGTAGTATAAACATATTGTGAAACTCGAATAAAAAAGAACATCTTACCGTAAAAAAGAAGTTAGCAGCAGTATTGGTGATGGTGGCTTCAAGTGAAGTAGAGGAAAAACGAAGAGCTTTGGTGAAAGTCGTCCACATGATACAATTCACACCAACCATTAAGGCAAAGAATAATATCCTCAGCACCACTGCATACTGTCAGCAATCCCAAACATGAAATACAAAATGCATAACTTGGAAACTTCATATATGTAAGTTTTCACAAAAAACATGCAAGTCTTCAAACTGAGTAAATACAATGAAAAAGTATTCAATAAAAGCAAATGCTGAATTTCTGGTCTATACTTGAATATATGGTGCAGTCATTTACCTATTATCTGACTTGCAGTAGGTGAAATAAAAAAAATGGATAATAGGTTCAATCATCTCTTCAAATATAAAATATTCCTTTGCCCAGATAAATAATTTCTTTTATTTTACCTCAAGATTTCTGTGCAATTAGATCGCTCATTTTATCTGAAGTCACAAAAAATCTGTATTCCAATAATTTATCTTAGCTAACTTTGGGACTCCCACAATCAAATAATTTTATCCAACCTAAAGGCTTACTACTGTGACTCATTAGTGGTCAGATAATTATAGGTGGGTGACTACAGTATGATGGTAATACTATACTCTCCTTTGTATTCAGAAGTACTGCATTACATAGAATACAATTCAGTATGGAGCTTGCTGTCAATTTTTCACATACTGTACCGTATATTCTTAGATAATTTACTTTTAAACTAAAATCATGTTTATCAGCTAACTGATGGTTACCTGTTGACATTAATAGTACATATGTCTGAATTAACCCTTAAACTGTGCATAGCATATAATACATATCCATGTTGGGAACCGAACACTACATACTTTACATAATATACGTAATATAGAATGACTAGGAGAGCGTATAAATCTGTAAGGGAGGGAAGACGGGGTAAGAGTCGTCCTCGAAAAGGTTGGAGGGAGGGGGTAAAACAGGTTTTGTGGGCGAAGGGCTTGGACTTCCTGTGTGAGTGCATGAGAGTGTTATAGAGGAGTGAATGGAGATGAATAGCTTTTGGGACCTAACGAGCTTCTGGAGTGCGAGCAGAGTAATATTTTGTGAAGGGATTCAATGCCTACAATTTAAAGGAGGTGTTCGGGATACTGGCAGTTTAGAGGGACATCTAAACTGTCATATCTGAGCACCTCTACAAAGACAGTGATTATGTATGAGTGATGGTGAAAGTGTTGAATGATGAGTTTTTTCTTTCTTTTGGGTTTTTCTTTCTTTCTTGGTCACCTGGCTTCAATGGGAAACAGTTGATGTGTTAAAAAACACTATAAAGTATACAATAAACATAAATCACAGCAGGCTCAAATTAAGCCCCATGTGACATAAAATGTGGGAGACCATCTTAACTCCTATGTCCAAATTTATGGACAGCCCCAAAAAAAGTCTTTTCTCCTTGATACACAAAACACTGCATGTTTCCTAACATTTTGGCAATCAAGAGGTTAGAATGTATAGTATTTTCATGGAAAGGGAAGCTGACACAGACTCTTTCCCTCTCTACATTTGAGAAAATTTTAGGTAACTGACACCAGCATCACTGTTCAAACAAATATTGCTCAATGTTAGTTTTGTTAGAGTAAAATGAAGTATGCTCAAGAACTGATAGGATGCAATCACTGGCTTGTTACAGACCATACAGTATACCCAAAAGAATAATGAAATAAGGTGCTGAAAACATAACACAAGCCAGCCTTAACCCAGCACGCGCCGGTGCCGCCGCCGGTGCCTCCTCCTCCTCCTCCTCCTCCTCCTCCTCCTCCTCCTCCTCCTCCTCCTCCTCCTCCTCCTCCTCCTCCACCTCCTCCTCCTCCTCTGCCTCTGCCTCCGCCTCCTCCTCCGCCTCCTCTGCCTCCTCCTCCGCCTCCTCCCCTCCTCCTCCTCCTCCTCCTCTGCCTCCTCCTCCACCTCCTCCTCCACCTCCTCCTCTGCCTCCTCCTCCTCCTCCTCCGCCTCCTCCTCCGCCTCCTCCTCCTCCTCTGCCTCCTCCTCTGCCTCCTCCTCCTCCTCTGCCTCCTCCTCTGCTCCTCCTCCTCCTCCTCCTCCTCCTCCTCCACCTCTGCCTCCTCCTCCGCCTCCTCCTCCTCCTCCTCCCCTCCTCCGCCTCCTCCGCCTCCGCCTCTGCCTCCCTGCCTCCTCATCCTCCTCTGCCTCCTCCTCCTCCTCCTCCTCCTCCTCCGCCTCCTCCTTCCTCCTCCTCCTCCTCCTCCACCTCCTCCTCCACCTCCTCCTCCTCCTCCTCCTCCTCTGCCTCCTCCTCCTCCTCTGCCTCCTCCTCCTCCACCTCCTCCTCCTCCTCTGCCTCCTTCTCTGCCTCCTTCTCCTCCTCCACCTCCTCCTCCTCTGCCTCCTCCTCCTCCTCTGCCTCCTCCTCTGCCTCCTCCTCCTCCTCCTCCTCCACCTCCGCTGCCTCCTCTGCCTCCTCCTCCGCCTCCTCCTCCTCCGCCTCCTCCTCTGCCTCCTCCTTCCTCTGCCTCCTCCACCTCCTCCTCCACCTCCTCCTCCTCCTCCATCTCCGCCTCCTCCTCCTCCTCTGCCTCCTCCTCCTCCTCCTCCTCCTCCTCCTCTGCCTCCTCCTCCACCTCCTCCTCCTCCTCCACCTCCTCCTCCTCCTCTGCTCCTCCTCTCGCCTCCTCCTCCTCCTCCTCCTCCTCTGCCTCCTCCTCCTCCTCCTCTTGCCTCCCTCCTCCTCCTCTGCCTCCTACCTCCCCTCCACACCTCCTCTTCCTCTGCCTCCTCCTCCTCTGCCTCCTCCTCCACCTCCTCCTCCACCTCCTCCTCCTCCTCCTCCTCCTTTGCCACTCCTCTGCATCCAGCTCCTTCCCTCCCTCCACTCTCCCTCCTCCTCCACCTCTCCTCCTCCTCTGCCTCACTCCTCCACCATCCTCCTCCTCCTCTGCCATCCTCCTCCACCTCCTTCTCCTCTGCCTCTGCCTCCAATCTCCTCCTCTGCCTCTTCCTCCACCTCCCTCCTCTTCTCCTCCTCCTGCCTCCTCCATTTACCGTCCACCTTTTCCTCCCTCCTCACTCTTCCTCCCTCCTCGCACCTCCTCCTCCTCTGCCCTCCTCCTCCTCACTCGCGCACCACGCCTCCTCCACCCACCTCCTCCTCCTCTGCCTTCTCCTCTGCCTCCTCCACCTCTGGCCTTCTCCTCTGCCTCCTCCTCCTCCTCCTGGCCTCCTCCTCCTCCTCTGCCTTCCTCCTCCTCCTTCGGCCGCCTCCTCCTCAACGCCTCCTCCTCCGCACCTCCTCCTCCTCCTCCTCTGCCTCCTCCTCCTCCTCCTCCACCTCCTACTCCTCCTCCGCTGCCTCCTCCTCCTCCTCCACCTCCTCCTCCTCCTCCTCCTCTGCCTCCTCCTCCACCCCCCTCTGCCTCCTCCTCCTCTGCCTCCTCCTCCACCTCCTCCTCCTCCTCCTCCTCTGCCTCCTCCTCTGCCTCCTCCTCCTCTTCTGCCTCCTCCTCCTCTTCCGCCCTCCTCTGCCTCCTCCTCCGCCTCCTCCTCCTCCTCCTCTGCCTCCTCCACCTCCTCCTCTGCCTCCTCCTCCTCCTCTGCCTCCTCCTCCTCCTCCTCCTCCTCCTCCTCCTCCTCCTCCTCCTCCTCCTCCTCCAAGATTTTTTTTTTTTTTCAAAATATTCGGGGTGCTGAGCGAGTGAACGTATATATACGTTTGGACCGTTTAAAGGTTAAGAGTGAGAAATCCTTTGAGCACACTTGGAACAAAAACTAAGAAAACATTAGTAATCAAAGCTATTTACATTGTATAATCAAAACACATGAGTAAATTCCCACAACTCTGAAGGTTGGACTGTACCCAGACAACATTTAGTGAGCCACCAAGTGTATACAAACCCATAGTTTTCTTATTAAATCCTGATACTGGTAGTTCTCCAGAGGGATGTTTGAGTTCCTGATTGAATGTGATGTTTATACAGCACATCTGTTCTTTATGTGTGTTTATATGTTGCAATGATCATAAGTTTTCTGACTAGCAGCAAGGAGCTTAAGCCAATCCCTACCTCTGGGCACAGGGCTTTACTACCCAGGGCCTGTATGAGACATACTCTGCAAGTACCCACATTCACAATGATATACATATATATATTATTATCACACTGGCCGATTCCCACCAAGGCAGGGTGGCCCGAAAAAGAAAAACTTTCACCATCATTCACTCCATCACTGTCTTGCCAGAAGGGTGCTTTACACTATAGTTTTTAAATTGCAACATTAACACCCCTCCTTCAGAGTGCAGGCACTGTACTTCCCATCTCCAGGACTCAAGTCCGGCCTGCCGGTTTCCCTGAACCCCTTCATAAATGTTACTTTGCTCACACTCCAACAGCACGTCAAGTATTAAAAGCCATTTGTCTCCATTCACTCCTATCAAACACGCTCACGCACGCCTGCTGGAAGTCCAAGCCCCTCGCACACAAACCTCCTTTACCCTTCTCCCTTTCCCAAACCTTTCCTAGGCCGACCCCTAAACCCCCGCCTTCCTTTCCCCTACAGACTGATACACTCTTGAAGTCATTCTGTTTCGCTCCATTCTCTCTACATGTCCGAACCCACTCAACAACCCTTCCTCAGCCCTCTGGACAACAGTTTTGGTAATCCCGCACCTCCTCCTTAACTTCCAAACTAAAGAATTTCTCTGCATTATATTCCCCACCACACATTGCCCTCAGACATGACAATCTCCACTGCCTTTCCCGCCTTCTTTCCTCGCTGCAACATTCATCACCCATACTTCCACCCCATATAAGAGTGTTGGTAAAACTATACTCTCATACATTCCCCTCTTTGCCTCCAAGGACAAAGTTCTTTGTCTCCACAGACTCCTAAGTGCACCCACTCACCCTTTTCCCCTCATCAATTCTATGATTCACCTCATCCTTCATAGACCCATCCGCTGACAACGTCCCCTCCCAAATATCTGAATACATTCACCTCCTCCATACCTCTCCCTCCAATCTGATATCCAATCTTCATCACCTAATATTTTTGTTATCCTCATAACCTTACTCTTTCCTGTATTCACTTTTAATTTTCTTCTTTTGCACACCCTACCAAATTCATCCACCAATCTCTGCAACTT